ATGCGGCGTTAGCTGTTTTTGCACCCACCAGCATATTTAAAACGTCATACTATTGTAATAGTTATTTGAAATGCCTCCGTAATATGCACACTTGCCTTGGAGGTGGCCAGTGCCCTTCGTCATAAACACGGCAGCTCTGGAGTCGGGCCTGGGCCTGCTCCGCTCTGCTCCGCTCTGCATTAGCAGTGGGGCTCCGCAGGCCACTTCCCCTCTCCACGCTTCAAAACGGGGCCAGGATCACCCACCGGCTGGGCTGTTGTGGGTTATAGGAGGTAATGTGTGTAATGTTCCCAGCACAGTCCTGGGCACAGCCTAAGTGCTCAGCAAGTTAGTCCTCCTCCTCCCTCCCTCCCATGACACCCGGGCTTGTCCGTGTGGACACCAGTAACAGTGGCACTGGGGGCAGGCCTGGGACCTCCCCTGAAGGGCTCTGGAGCAGTGCTCCTGGGCATCGGGTCTGCTTTTCTCATGTTCTGTCTCAGCCCGTAAGCTGCCACTTCTCATTGCTGTCATCACACTTTCTTTTTATAATCCTACCAGAGGCCTGGTGCACGAGATTTGTGCACTTGAGGGTGGGATGTGGAGTACCTCAGCCCAGCCTGCGTGTTCTGGCAGTCCGTGAGACCTTGGAGATGTCCGACTGCCAGCTTAGGCCTGCCATCGCCGCTGCGTTTGCCAGCGTGAGCCCGGCTCAGGGTTCTGGCTGAGTGGTGCTCCCCCTGTGGGAGCGCCCTGACCACCAAGGGGCAGCTCCTGCCTTGAGCATCTGCCACTTGGTGGTCAGTGTGTGTCATAGCAACCGGTCGTTCTGCTTTTGGTCAATTTGCATATTAGCCTTTTATTATGTAGGATGAGTTTGCAGACCAGGTAATAGCTGTTCTGTTTTACATGTTAACTGTTGATTCATTTAATCTTCATTGGTTTCTCCATTTTATAGCTAAACAGCTGAGGCACAGGAAGGTAACGTGACTTCCCACAGGCACGAGGCCAGTGAGTGGAGTGGCTTGGACGCAGGCAAACATGGCCCCAGAGGCTGTCTACTGAGAACCACAACTAACAGTGTAGAGATTGAGAGTGAATGGACTGAAGACTGGAGAGCACTTGGTCTTTTATTGGTATTTCCTTGCAGACCAACCTTTCAAAACACAGCGAGGAGCTGTCTGAGCAGTTGGGGCTGCTCAGGGTCACCTTCCAAAGCAGATTTGAGACAAGGGAGACACACTAAATGCAGAGGGAAGTCTGGGCACAAAAGCCTACTTGCCCGCATCTCACCTTCTCTGGGGTTGTGGCTCTCCTTTAGATAAAAATATGGCTTGGTGAGAATGGATAGTTTCAACTTTGCAAATGGCATCAGTGGAGCCCAATGAGGACCTGAATACAAATTCCCCTTCGGGACAAGTCACACAACTTTCTGTACACAATCTCAGGGGAATCCTACAATTTCTTGGATGTGAAATTTAGAAGTTCTTCACGGAAGAGCTGTGGACCTGAGCACCAGAGCCCAGGGCCTGAGTCCAGACCGTTCTGCTGGCATTCTGTGTGATATTAGGCAGCCACTGCCCTTTAGCCACGTGAAGAAATGGGACAATCATCTGCCTTGCTTCCCTCACTGTGGGGGGTTGTGCTGGGTGGGAGGTGTGGGGGATTGCAGAGTGCTATCTGGATGTTACCAGGACGCTGAGGTTTAGAGAGGTTACTCACCTTAAGGTGACATAGCTATTAAGTGGCAGAACCAAGGCTCAAACTGGAAGGCAAGGAAGTCTCTGGAGTATGTGTGTGCTCTCCAGCCAGAATTTTATAAAGAATCAAATGAGACAAGGCATGTGAAAGGCTCATGTGAGTTACACCTGGGTTGGACTTAGGATTCCATATCCCATTCCTTGTGGGACCCAGGACTGGGTAGTGAGGAGCTGGTGGAAGGGTGCCAATGGGTGATGCCGCTCCTGGAGACAGTGAAGACCCTCATCTCCCCAGCTTTTGGGAAATCTGCCAGATTCTGCAACATCTTTAAGATCCATCCCAGGAACCAGCAGTCAGGCTGGCAAGTCTGGTTTTGGAAATAGCAAAACTTATGTTTGGAAGCAGCAAAAACTGCAAACTTATGTTTTTAATAGCACCAAGCAAAATCCGTAAAGCCCAAGTTCTATTCGTCCATAATATAAAAGATGCTCTCCTCCAACTCAGACTTTGGATGCTTATACTTTAGAGAACACCTGTGTAACCAATAAAACCAGCAGTGCCAGAGCAGGTAACGTCACAGGCCAGAAATTCCCCCAGAATGCACCTCCTGAGAGGTGGTGGGAAGTTGGCAATACCTCCTTAATCCGTCAAACTAATGCTCTAGATGTGTAGCTGGCACATCAAGAAACCCAGAGGCGTGAACTAGAATGGGGTGGGGATGGTGAGGAATCCTGGACCGACACTGTAAACAGTTGGGCTTACTAGTAAGAACACCAAGCACATTATTGAGTCTCAAGTTTGATGGAACAATAAATGTCACTCAATGCTATATGTTATTTTGAATTTCTCTGAGGGTTTTAGAAGTGGGGTAAAAAAGCTAAAAGCTCATCAAACTTAAAATCATACCAAGTGGTGTTGAGCTAGTCCCAGTGAGACAAGTTAAATTATGGCACCAGCAAATTTGCTATCTTTTTTTTTTTTTTTTTAATTGTAGGATGCATACATTTCAGTATAATGAATGTTTTCCAATTGTTATGTAAGAACACCAAGCAAGATGCTGGCTGACTCTATGTCTGGAGGTGGGAGGCGAAGCCCAGGGAAGTGTGAGGGCAGGAGGAAGAGCTGCCAAGGCCACTGCCATTTCTGTGGTGACACAGGCCACTTCATGTGTCTGTAGTCACTTTAACGCTGTGTTTGCAAGAAAAGGCACAAAACTGCTTTGGCCTCTGCTCTGGGCTTAGCAGACCAGAATGACACGAGTGAACAGTGAGACTCAGCGGAGGCCGTTCTCAGCAGTGGGGCCCATAGGAAAGGATTTCGTGGGGCTGAGCAAGGAGGACCTCCCGAGTCAGGGTAGAAAAAGGGGGTGTGAACTCCATACACATTCAAGTAGCATTTAATAACTTTCACAAAATCAGTTTCAGAGTAAAGTCTATAATTATGGAATACAGAAGTGAGGATGATAGTGGGGAACAATATGATGATATCAAACCCAATCAGGAGGAACAGGTTAAACATGAAAGTGAATTCAGAGTCCTGTATGTCCACCCCGCACCCCCACCCTTGCTGCTGTTCCTGAGTGTGGCCCGAGTTCAGGGCTATAGCTTCTCCATGGCCGCTACAGAGCGAGGTCCACCTGCAGAAGAGCTGGCGCCCTAGTGCACCTGTAGGTGGGGCCACGAGGCTAAGAGGGTGGCGTGGAGCTGGAGAGGACGTGCCCTGTGGGTCTGGGTCTCGTCTCTTCCCTTCAGCTTCCCCGAGAGACCACTGGGGCCAGAGGAGGCCTGCCCTCGGCAGACGTAGCACTAGTCTATTAAGAACACATCTCTTTTTAAGAGAGTGACCAGGAGAGGTCCCTGGTTGGGAGCATCAGAGAAAAGACAGAGATGGAATTTTCTTGGCCAACGCCCACTTCTGGGCAGAGGGAGAATGACCAGGCATTTCTCAGGCTTTCGGTTAGAGTCTCCTGATAACCCCTTGGCTTGGGTCAGGGAGAAAAGCCCAGGACTTAGACTCTCTTTTGGACAAGTACAACATGTCAAGTCAGGATACCAACCCCTAGACAGAGACCACAGGGGACACGCGAATGGACAGAAACATTCCAAGATGGAAAAGAAATCATTGTCGGTGAAGGTATAAACAGTGAATTGGACTCTAAACCCCACATCCATAGATTAACAAAAGTCCACATATACTAAAATCACCCCAAAACTACTACACGTGGGTTCAGGCCACACACATCTTCTGAGCTGAGCCCCCAAGTCTGCTCCTTAAATATATGACATCGGAATTCTCAGCCACCAGATGAGATCCTTTTCATTTGAGGTGGGAGCCCAGTATCTAATATTGAAACATTCAAATAATAAAAAGTGGAAACAAATTCCTTATTACATCTGGGCTGAATCCAAGGGGCGGCTGATCAGATTTTTGGTGACAGACAAGGGGCTTAACACACCAAGTGACAAGTCCAAACTAGTGAAGGGAAGAGGAGAGAAAAGCAGGAGGGAACTGCATTCACTGTACACTAAGAGGGCAGCCTGGGAGCTGGGACCCGAATGCAAACCTAATAGCAGCTTCCTGCAGCGGGGCCGGTACCCGCGTCCTGGCACCGGCCCCCTTCACACTACCTAACACTCACACTGCGCTCAGACCCGTGCTGCAGGGGGACAGCGAATACCTCCACACGGAATCTGGAGACCCAAGGCAGCAGCAGTAAATAAATACCTTGCAAATTCCTCAAATACATCCTTCCATCTTAGTAAAAGAGGTCAGAAAGTACCGTCAAAAATGATATGCGTTTTCCCCTGCAATACTGTTTTATCTCCAGGCCAAGAAGTTCCACCGATTTCCTCCCCTTGCCTCTTAACATCAGGAGACAAAGTAGGAATCCAGTTATGAAAAGAAAAAGGCAGAGGTGTGTGTGTGTGAGCCTTGGCTCAATGAGACAGATCCGACACACATCGGCCTGGCGTCCCAGGACAGACAGGACTGTGTGGACCCCGGGGGCAGAGGGCACTGGGGAGGCATCGGTCCTGCTCGGTGGGCACGCACACCGGGACGGCGCGTGGTCGCTGGCCGGGCAGGGCGGAGGGGGGAGGGGGCCGCAGGGCTGTAACCCTGGGTTGGGAACACATACTCGTGGAGGGGACGTGTTAAGTAGCTATGTTTATTATTACTTTTTTTTTCCAGCAATCTTGCAAGAGGCAGAGTGTGACACTGAATTCAATGAGACGAGCGTGTAGGTGGGTTGGCAAAGAGCCCTTCTCTTGACGCAGGCCTCGGGCAAGTCAAGGAACGGCTGGTTCCACCGCTGGGCGTGTTTACTCTTTCGCTTCAAGAAAAAGGGTTTCTTGAGGGAACAACTTTACCTCCAACAATGATTTATTTGGGTCCAGCTGGGTTATCTAAAAAGAAAAAAAAGCATACATTCAAAAGACTGGAAAAGCACTTTTTTCTCCACACGGTACTCGGATCCTGCATGCACATTGATTTTGAGCCTGCTATGTACTGACACGAGCATTTGTATAACTCTTCTCTTATTTGAGCCTCAAAACAGCCCTGTATTGTTATTTCTAGTTTATAATCGAGGAAGCTAGGGCTTAGGGAGGGGGACTAGACCTCTTCCCGGGGAGGTGGAGGCTCCTTGCCTCCCTGCACAGCTCAGCGTGGCCACAGAGCAGGAGGCCCTGAGGAAAGGATCTGGTTAAACGACTGATGGCATTCCTGGGCCCTCTCCCTGGTTAGCTCCCGACAGCAGGGAGGCCTTTTCTGCGCTGGGAAGGAGCTAAGCCTTTGCGGCTCATCTGGCTGCTAACCGTACCTATAATAAACTGCAGACACCACTCCGCCATGCCCAGAGAGAAGTATCTATCTCCCCTACCAGGAGAGGCTGCTTAGGGAGGCATATCACAACCTCCCTGTTGTGTGTGTGTGTTTGAAAAAATAAGTCAATGTCATAACATGACTATGTTATAGAACATAAAAAACATTACTTTATAATGTGAACCACAGAGAACAGAGCTGGACAAAATCCTCTTGGCTCAGGTGGGATATGCTAATCACACAGGGATCCTAAGTTAGGCTCCTAACCTCCTAGGATGGGGACAGGGATGGGACGGCAGACATTTTCTGAATGGGAGAATAAAAGGAAAACAAAAATTTCCTGCTTAACGAAAGGGATCATAAATGTTAAAATGCTGAGAAATACTGGTTTAGTAAAAGACAATAGGTTTTGAATCAGAAAGATCCTGGTATAAATCGCAGCTGTTTTGGCTATTAGCTTTGCGGCTTTGGAGTTAGTATCAATTGTGCAGGATTGATGTGAGGATTAAATGAAAAAAAAAATTATATATATATATATATATATATATATATATATATATATATATATATATATATATATATATTAGCAGTGTCTGGCCCAGAGCCGGTCTCAGTGATGGCTGCGGTGTGTGTGTGAGCAACTGTGAGGATGGATACAGGTAGCTGGGCAGCTTTACCTGTGTCCATCCTGTGCGTGATGAGAGAGGCTGGGCAGTGTGCTGTCAGACACAGGGGCTCTGGGCCTGTGGGCAGAGACTGCAGCACCCCAGGCAGGCAATCTTGTTCTTTCCTCAACTCAAGCCGCACCCAATAAGATGGCTCCGCCGTTTTCTCCTAGCCACTGGGAGGGGGTCCTGGAGGCTGAGGGTCATAGGCCGGCTGGTGAGCTGAAGGAGGAACACTATCTTCCACTGTATCCAGCAGAAACCCGATATGCCCAGGAGGGTCATTAAGGAGACACATCTCCCAGCATCCTCTCTGCTTATAAGGAGCCTCGAGCAAAGCTACTCTGCCGGTATCTCTGGGACTCTGGGCCACGGGCAGGCAAGGTGGTGGGGAGGGCCCAGCCTGCTGTCCGTCTTCCGATGCACTGGGGGCAAGCTGCTGGCAAATGTTTACCCACTTCCCCAATTAATGTACAACACCGTGCTGGCTTCTGTCAACAAGCAGAGCTGTGCTGCCGCTGCTTCCGACTCACTGGCATTTTCTGCCCAGCTGCTTCCGCCATTGTTCTTAATTAACATGCCAGAGCTCTTCCGGCACCTTCTATGTTGTTATTTGTGGTTTGTAAATATAATGTTTGCTGGGAGAAACCATGACCGTAACTGTGCCAGAGCGGTGCGTGCTGCCAGAAAGATCCGCTGCCGAGCAAAAGAGGCTGGGAGGCTGGAGTCTCCGGCCCAAGCAGAGCCCTGCCTGGGTTGCCAACATGCAAGGTCAGAGGTTAAGAAAACACACCCAGTTTTTACATGAGAAAACTGGGTTCAGAAAAAGCTAAGTGATTTTCCCTGTCACTTTAGTGGGAAAGCTGGGACATAAGGAGGGAAACTAAAATTTCTTGAACATCTACTACATAACAGACATTGTGGATATGTCATTCCATTCAATCCCTAAGCCAACTATGCGGCGTAGGTGAAAATGACAAAATTAAGGCTCAGGAGGGCTGGCACTTGTTTAAGGCCAGAAAGGGTACGTCCATTGTGCACAATGGTTAAAAAGAGCGAGGCAGACTTAGATTCAAATCCCAGCTGTCACTTACTACCTAATATGACCTTGAAGAAGTTACACAGCCAGAGAGTCTCAGTTTTCTCACCTGTATGATGGGAATAATTGGTTTCTCCTTTATAGGCTGCTGTGACAGCTAGCTGGAATAATGTTGGGGTTGGCACAGTGCCCGAGCCAGGAAGTGCTCAGTGGGTGGCAGCCATCACTAGTTGGAGTGCTGCCTATTGGAGTAAAGGACCTGGTCTGTCTGACTTTTCCTTCAAAACTTCCTGGAGCTCAGCCCGCACCTGGCCGCCTTTCTTGCTTCTATCCAGAGTCCAGCAGAAGTGCTCCCTTTTCCTTGAGAGGGCGACGCCTCCATACCTGGAGACCGCCTTTTATGGCTGCGGTGGGGCTGGGCCATAACGGACTGCTTCACAGCAGACATGGTTGTGCTGGGGCTGTGTGATCTAGCACCCAAAATCATAAGCAATTTCTTTTTTCTAAAGGTCATTTCAGACAAGTGTTTCAAAGTGAACAGGATAGCCTCTGTTTCCATTCTCATTTGACTGGTGTGGACAAAGAGACTGTGGGGTGCAGGGTACCATGCTTCATTCCAGCACAACAGTGGCCATGCTGTGAAACCACACTACCGTGCTCTGGGCCCATTCAAGAAGAGGTGGAGCATGCCAAGAGGGACCTCTTAGCAGGGCAGAGCTACTTGAGGCCAAGAGCTGAGTAATACTAAAAATAACAGTAGCAACAAGCTACACTAATAAAAGAGAAACATGCAAAATTAACCGTCACTCCGCCACACCCACCAGCCAATCAGGAAGAAATATGCAAATTAGGAGAAAGATGGCGGCCATCCAGCTGCTCCAGGTGGAGTGGCTGGGTGGGCAGGACACCTGCTATGAGAGGGAGGGCAGGGGGCGAAGGGATCTACAGGAGCGGCACTCTGGCTGCAGCAAAGACAAAGGTGGCAGACTCTGGCAGGAGCAAAGGCCTGGGTCCCAGGTGCTGGAAGCCAAGGAAGGAAGGCCTATTGCACGAATCTCTTCGTGCAACGGGGTGTCTGATATATGCATAAAACTGTATAGTTTGCAAGATATTTACATAACCATTAATTCACATTCATGTAGGGTAGGTATTATCAATCCTTTTTATTTAATTTTGCTAAGGAAATGCTTTTATTTATTTTTTAATTACTTTTAATTAATTTTAGAAAAGGAGGGAGGATTGATGGGGGGAGGGAGGTGGGGAGAGAGAGGGAGGGAGAGAGAGAGGGAGAAAGAGAAACATCAATTGGGTTGTCCCCATGTGTGCCTCGATCAGGAATTGAACCCAAGACCTCCTGATACATGGGAGGGGGCTCCAGCCAACCGAACCGCAGCTGCCGGGGTAGGAAATGCTCTCAGTTTGAATCTGAATAAAGGAAAGTCTGAATCTAATATCTTCACATTTAGAAAAAATGCCAGATTCAAGAAATGATGCTGAAATAACTGAATATTCACATGCAAATAAGTGTATCTATATGCAGTCTTTACACCGGTTACAAAAATTACCTCAAAATGTAAAACACAAAACTATAAAAATCCTAGAATATAGAAAAAAAAATCTAAATGACTTTTGATATACCAAAGACACAATTCATAAAATAAATAACTGATAAACTAAACTTCATTAAAATTAAAAATTTCTGCTCTGCAAAGACACCATCAAGAGAAGGAGACACTGTAAATGTACTATGGTAAAATATTTGCAAAAGGTACATCTGATACAGAAATATTATCCAAAATATATAAAGAGTCCTTAAAACTCAATAAGAAAACAACCCAATTACAAAGTGGGCCAAAGACCTGAAAGACACTTAACCCAAGAAGATATACAAATGGAAAATAAGCATGGAAAGATGCTCCATATCATCTACCACTGGGAAATGCAAATTAAAACTGAGCTACCACTACACACCTGTAAGAATGGCCGAAAAGAACACAGACAAATGCTGGCAAGGATATGGAGCAACATGGACTCTCATTCATTGCTGCAAAATGGCATAGCTACTTTGGGAGAGAGTTTGTTGGTTTCTTAAAAAAAAACACCAAAAAACCACACACCATATTTTTATTAGACAATTCAGTAATCATACTCCTTGTTATTTACCCTAAAGAACTGAAAATGTACGTTCACAAAAAAACACAAAAATCTGCACACACATGTTTATAGCACTTTTACTCAGACTGCCAAAACCTGAAAGCAGCAAGATGTGCTAAAAGAAATGAGCTATTAAGCCATGAAAAGACCTGGAGGAATCTTAAATGCATATTGCTAAGTGAAGAAAGCCAATCTAAGAGGGCTACATACTATATGATTCTAACTATTTGATATTTTGGACTAAGTAAAACTAGGGGAATAGCAAAGAAAACAACACTAGTTATTAGGGATTATTTTTGGGGAGGGGGTAGATGAATAGGCAGAGCACAGGGATCTTTAGGGCAGTGAAAACACTCTCTATGATACTATAGATATATGTCATTGCACATTTGTCCAAACCCTTTCTGGAGCCAACCTGCCCTCCTAAAGTAGATAAGGCCTGCAGTGTCAGCTGTGCCAAGGATTGCATGGTCAAGTCTCTAATTTAGGGGCGAAGAGTGTATCAGCAAGTCCCTTGGCTACAGATCCCAAGCCACAATCTATGATCAATCTTTTCAGTAACAGAAATATTGTTTTTATTCCCTACCCAAGTCCCATGTTTATTTTTCAATTAGTCTTGAACTAGTTAAAGTGAAAATATATTATTTAATGACCCTGAAAACCCCAAGTCCCACAAAGTACTAGGCAAGGACTGAACAATGATAATTTGATGTAATTGGATACA